CACCCATCCAAGTACTAACCACGCTCAACGTTGCTTAGCTTAAGTGATCGGACGAGAACTTGCGTATTCAACGTGATATGACTGTTGGCTGAAAGTCTGTAAATAAATATTACGAACGTAATCTGAATGTATGATGTTTTTTTTTGTAAGAGTTTATTCATTTCGTCATAAGTGGAGCAAAGATATCAAACGAAAGTTAATAAACTCAGCCAAAGTACACTCGGACAGCAGAAGAAAAATATTCAATAATACATGGCTGTGGGACAGCAACTCATACATTTTTTTTATGTAAACTCAGTTAAGCTACTTCTCGTATTAGTGCTAATTTCATGTAGCGATGGTGGCAAAGGCCCTGAGGGGAATATTGACAGCAAGTAAGCCGTCTGAGAGGCTCGTTACGGTTAGGCTAAAACGGGTGACCAAGTAAAAAATACCTGTCGAACCAGATCTTGACAATCACCTAAAGCTAATCTACGACTAATTATTTACATATATGTAGTGTAAAGAAAGTCCGTAGGGGACATGTGCCTGTGCAGGCGCTAGTGGTGGCGAGTTGGGCAGTCTGCTCTCTTTGCCCAGTCTCAGAGCAATCTCGGCTTGATATTTTGCTTGCTCATCTAGCCACCAGTAGCTGGGTTTGAATCGGGATCGGTCCAGGAAGTCCGGTTTCGGGCTGCAGAGGGTTTGCGAGGATCTTAATCGCCTTGTTCGCTTCGTGCCTTCCCGTATGATACAGGTAGGGGGTATTCGATGCGTTCTGGAATGTCCCAATTCTGTCAAAGAAAGTGAAGGTCTCTGGGGCTAAATATCCACTTGGAACAGCCAGAGGTGTTTCGATGGGATCAACTGTGCTGAGCCGAGTGACGATCTTGTTGTTAATCATTTTGAGCTTAGAGTAATAGTCTCGAGTGAGCAGGAGCATGTAACAGTCAATTCTTGGGATATTACCACCGTCATATAGGCGTTTGTTGCTCACTGGTCTACGATGATTGCTGTGGGCCGAGCGATACACGAATAGAGATGCCAGAGGCACTTCCTCTCGACTACTCGTAGCTTTTCTACCTGCGAAACTCTCAGGTTCCACCAGATAGGTCATGCGTAAGTCAAGATGAATCGAACCAGTAGGAGGTAACAGATGACCTTAGCTGCCTTTCTGATATTCTTACTATTGGTTTCCGGGATTTCCCGGGTACAAAATTCACTCTTCCTAAATTTTATCTTCTCATTTAAGTAAGGAGAGTTTATAGCCACATGTGAAGTTCCAGTGGACATAATAATGGGAAATCTGGCAGACTCATTTCTACATTGTGCAAAACGGGAGGATACTGTCGAAGAAATAATAAATAGACTTGACGCCACGTACGCGAGGAAAAGTCTAGCTTCAGAAATGTCCATCAAAAAGAAAATGTTCGGTTTCAAATTTCAGGGTGATACAACCCTAATGAAGCCTTTTTCTGAGCTGGATGAAATATTTGTGGAATTTGCCGTAGCTGACGGTACTCTCAGCGAGACGGACAAAGTGGCACATTTACTGCCAAACTCCTATGACAATATAGTAACAGCCATCGAGCAGTTATCTTCAAATGTCCTTACTCTCACAGGCATAAAATCGCAACTACTGGACTTCGAAACAAAAAGGCGTCAAGAACAACAAGATACTAGTGCAAAAATATTAAATGTGGAATTGGAAAGTAGGAATCAAGGACTTTCGAAATCACATAGATCCCCAAATAAAATGAAAAATTTCAAGGAAGTCATCAAGTGCCACCGCTGTGGAAAACGAGACCTCGTAATGGCCAATTGTTATTTCAAGAAAAATGGAAAGTCAAAAGAAGGTGAAAAGAGGCGGGCATGTAGCCGAAACAGCAGAGAAAAGACAAGTAAATGCAATGTCTAGTTTTGCATTTATGATTGGGAACAACTTGCCTATGGTAGAATTCAAGCAATATTACCTTCATTCTGGATTTCGGAACGACGTACCATATAATAAGCAGCAAGGATTTAGCAGCTGATTATGAGCAGTTGGACAAGCCAATAAAAATAACAGTTGCAAAAAATGATCAATTCATTACAGTAACAAAAGGAGGAGATCTAAAAGTGACTAGCGATCAAGGCACAAGAGGAACTTTGGAAAATATCCTGTACTGTTCTGAACTGCCGCACAATTTATTATGTGTCACCAAAATGCAATCTGCTGGACTTTCCATAATTTTTTATCAAAATGGAGTAAAAGGAACCAAAGAGCTGTTATGCTTAGGGAGCTGAATCGTAATTTAATTACTATTACTTTCGGTATAAATCGAAAGTCGGTCAACGCCGTGAGTAGAAAAGTTAATTACGAGTTGTGGCACCAACGCTTAGGATATATAAACAAACAAAAATTTCTAGAATCGAAGTCAAAAAGCACGTTTGGAGATATTCAAAGTTTAGACTGCATAGCACGTAATGGCAAATTATGCGAACCGTGTATAAAGGGAAACAATCGTGGTTACCATTCAATAAAGAGAGAAATAAAGAATATGTCAAGAGACCGTTATATATAGCACAACTCCTCCAACGTTAAATGAAAAGAATTATTTCTTTTTGTTCACAGACTAATATACCTATTACTGTCTTACGTATCTAGTGAAATGCAAATCAGTCGTTTTCCATTTGTCCAAGAATTTTGTAGCCAAACGTGAGACCAAGTTCAATCTAAAGCAAATAAACTTATATTGTAATAATGGAAGAGAATATTTGTCAAATGACATGAAGGATTACTGCACAGAGAGAGGCATAAGTTTTCATCTGACAGTTCCAACAACCCTACAACTCAATGGTGTGGCCGACTATATGGTGAGAACCATAACGGAGAAGGCAAGAGCAATGGTGATTGGGGCGAATTCAGGGAGAATCAGTTCTCACTGCTACTTATCTAGTAAATATAACACCAACCAAAGCTTTAAAATGTGAAAAGACACCATATGAAATGTGGCACGAGAAAAAGCCAACCATGAAATACTTGAAAGTATTTAGTATACCGTGTATGTCCATCGACAAATTAGCAACGGAAAATTCGATGCGAAATCATGGAAAGCTGTCCTTGTCAGATACAAACCGAATGGCTACAAAGTGTGGGGTAACGAAAAGGCTAAGTTTTTAGGGTTGTGGGGGATGATTGCGGACGATTGCGTTTTGTCAGTACAGTCAACACTACACGAAATTCCGAGAACATTTCAGGAAATTGAATTTAGAAAAGATAGGGCTCAATTGGAAGAAGCAATTGAAAATGAAATAGATCCCTTACTACAGAGTGAGACATAGACATTCGTTTCTAGACCAAATGGAAAGAATATTGTTAACTGTAAATGGGTTTTCTCTACAAAAAATGATGAGTAATCTTGCAAAATACAAAGCTCGATTAGTCGGGCGAGGATTCTCTCAAGAATATCTAACAGATTATAATGAGACCTTTGCTCTAGTAGGTAGAATCGCAAGTTTTAGATTTTAGTTAGCCTTCGTTAATTAATTCAATTTATTAATTTACCACCTGGACGTGAAAACCGCATTTTTGAATGGAAAAGTAAAAGAAGAAATATACATAAAAGGACTGGAAGGCATAGCATATTAGAAAGACCAAGTTTACCAATTAAACAAAGAGCGTTTTACGGGTTAAAATAAGCGGCGCAATGCTGGTTTGAGGTTTTCGAGTAAGCTCTTAGAAGGGAAGGTTGTAACAATTCACCAGTGGATGCCTGCATATATATTTTAAATAACGGGGATGTAAATAAAAATATATCCGTAGTATTATATGTAGATGATTTAGTAATAGCAACAGCTACTCTAGAAAATATGGATAATTTCAAGATGTATCTAATGAAACAATTGTCAATGGTTGACTTCATGGAAATTAAATTATATTTTGGACTTCGAATTAGAAGAGAAAAGATCAAATGACACTAGATCAGACACCGTCCATTCAAAGAATTTTGGAGAAATTTAATATGACAAACTGCAACGCTGTAAGTGCCCCTCTCGAAAGTCGATTGGACTATGCAGTTTTAAATTCACGCAAGAGAATCGAAGCACCATGTAGAAGTTTAATTGGATGTCTTATGTATGTCATGGTGGGTCAAAGACCTGATTTAAGTGCAGCAATAAATATTTTAAGTAGATACACAGATCACAATAAAGATGAACTGTGAAAATGTTTTAAAAGAGTCCTTAGGTATCTGAAAGGAACATTAGAATATAAAAGAAGTATAAAAAGAAGTGATTTTATGAATGTGCTGGTCAGTAATGTTGATTCAGACTAGGGTAGAGATGAAAATGAAAAAAAAAGTACCACAGAAGTTTTTATTCCGATTATTCGCTAACTGTATGATTTGCTGGGACAGTAAGAAGCAATTATCAGTGGAATCTTCATTTACTGAAGCTGAATATATGGCTCTTTTTGAGGCAGTGAGGCAGGCCCTATGATTAAAATCATTAGCTACAAGTATTGAATTGGAAATTGATGATCCCATAATTATCTATAAGGACAATAATGGTTGTATCAGCATAGCCAATAATCCAACAAATCGCAAGAGAACTAAGCACATAGATGCAAAATATAATTTTCCCAGAGAACAAATTAAGAAGAAATTGATTGATTTGGAGTATGGTTCATCAGGACAACAGTGGGTAGATATATTCACTGAACCTTTGCCAGCGCCAAAGTTCATGGAATTAAGAAGAAAAATGAATATTAGGTAAGACAATGTATTGAGATGTACTTATCAATGCATGTTCATGTATGTGTATATATGTATATGTCTGTGAAATATAATTTTATTGCTCAATGCTTTAATTATGCTTCACTGGGTTTCCCCAATCCAAAGCAACGAATGCCCAACCATATGTTTTGTCCCAGGAAACTGGTGGCTGAAAGTCTGTAAATGAATATTGGGAATGCATGGTAAATGTTGGATGTGCCACCATCCGATTATTTCCACCTTCAAAAAGAATAGTTGACCAATGCCAGAAAATGAAAGATTAACTGCGTGGAGAATGGATTAAACATGAGCGCATACGTGTAAATAAAAAAAAAAACAAAAGAAAGAGGCCAACGGCACGTGGTGTTCCCAAGCGGTCACCCATCCAAGTACTAACCACGCTCAACGTTGCTTAGCTTAAGTGATCGGACGAGAACTTGCGTATTCAACGTGATATGACCGTTGGCTGAAAGTCTGTAAATGAATATTGTGAACGCATTTTCAAAGTAGGGTGTACCACCGTCCAATTACTTCAACCTTTAGGAAGACTGATGTGACCAATGATGGAAAATGAAAGATTATCTGCTTGTAAAATGCATTAAGCATAGACGCATCCTTCCAGACAAATAAAAACAAAAGAAAGAGGCCAACGGCACGTGGTGTTCCCAAGCGGTCACCCATCCAAGTACTAACCACGCTCAACGTTGCTTAGCTTAAGTGATCGGACGAGAACTTGCGTATTCAACGTGATATGACTGTTGGCTGAAAGCCTGTAAATGAATCTTGTGAACGCATCTTCAAAGTTGGGTGTACCACCGCCCAATTATTTCAACTTTTAAGAAGAATGGTTTGATCACTGATGGAAAATGAATGATTAACTGCTTGTAAAATGGATTAACCATAGATGCATCGTTCTCGATAAAAAAAAACAAAAGGTATATAACAAAATATATGTTTTAATTTGGGTTTAAAGAAAAATTTAGTGGTCACCCAGTGACTCTCAATTTTAGACATTGTAATTTTTTGATTAATGTGTTTCCACAACTTTAATTCCCTGTTTCGGGTAATTGCTCCAGCTTCGGAGTATTCAAATTATTCATTTAATGAGTACGCCCAAAAAAAAAAGAAATAATTTCGTACTTATTGTCCAAAAAAAATGGCGCTTTAGTAATGACAGGAATAAAGCTTGGATAGAATGCATCAATTAATAAATAATTGATGCATTCTGTCCTAACAATATTATTTTTTTTTAATGTTAACTCAAGACTAAGTGTTTGTGATATTCATTTTAATGGATTTATCTCAGTTGATAAATTTCTTTATATTAATTATTATTTTAACTCAACTAGGAAGATTGTTCTTAGTTCTTATTATTATTATTATTATGGTGGACAGTGATTATTTCTCCTGAATCTATTTTGGGCTCTGTTTTGAGGCCTATTTGTCTCTTTGAGAAGAATTTCTCTGTTTTTAAGTTTGGTTATAAATCTATCTTCGTGTATCCACCATAATTTTTTATTTATTCTATAGAAGTCGTTCATGTCGACTTCCGGAATATCTCTGGAGTATTTGAATTTTTCATTTTTGAGATTATGAAATGAAATTTTATTATTTTTTTTTGTGTCTTGGGATATGATGTAATATTGGTCTATTAATTTCATCTTGGAATAGACCAATTTTATCATACCGCGTAAAATATTGAGGTTTAATATATCCATATGCTGCTCTATTAATGGCTTCTTCTTTATCTATGTTTGTGTAAGCATTAATAGTTTCGTTTTTTATAGATTTTAATTTTTGATAGTAATTTCTAGCTAGTTTTAGCATGAAATTATCGATCCTGGGAACTTTAGCTCGATTGTATAGAATTTTGTTGCTAACTTGCCGTTGATAATTTGAGTGTTCAGAACGATATAAAAATAATGAAGTTCTGAGACACTTCCTCTCAAAAACTCTCAGACATTCAGCTTGGTGTGCGCCTAAATTCCATAATATTTCGGCTCCATATGTTAAGAGTGGTCTAATTAGTAAGAGATAGCAGATAACTCTCGCTCTTATATTGATAAATTTATTGTGGAAGAGAAAACCCAATGATTTGTATTTCTTCCTTGCTTTTTCAATCGGAATATCTATATGGTCAGAACATCGGGTTAGTTCGTCTATGTTTATTCCAAGATATTTCACTATTTTTTTGTGTGGGATAATTATTTTACTATTATTTTCATTATTTGTTATTTTAATTTCGAAATTTTTTACGGTATTTTTTTTCCTTGCAGACATATTTCCAAAGGGATTTCTGAATAGGATTGATTCACTTTTGTCCGGGTTAACCCTGAGATTCCAGGCCGAATAGAACTTGCGTATTCAACGTGATATGACTGGTGGCTGAAAGCATGCAAATGAATATTGTGAACGCATCTTCAAAGTTGGGTGTACCACCGTCCGATTATTTCAACTTTTAAGAAAAGTCATCTGACCAATGATGGAAAATGAAAGATTAACTGCTTGTAAAATGGATTAAGCATAGACGCATCGTTCCAGACAAAAAAAAACAAAAGAAAGAGGCCAACGGCAGGTGGTGTTTCCAAGCGGTCACCCATCCAAGTACTAACCACGCTCAACGTTGCTTAGCTTAAGTGATCGGACGAAAACTTGCGTATTCAACGTGATATGACTGTTTTTTTTTGTTTTTTTGATTAACCATGTTTTTTTTATTCATTAAACAACAGATTATTTACAATATTTACATTGATTTTCATTTGAAAGAAACAGGTATATAAAAAAATATATGGTTTAATTTGGGTTTAAAGAAAAATTTAGTGGGCACTCAGTGACTCTAAATTTTAGGCATTCTAATTTTTTAATTATAATGTGTTTCCACAGCTTTTATTCCCTGTTTGGGGTAGTTGCTCCAGCTTAGGAATATTTAGGTTATTTATTTAATAAGTGCGCCCAAAAAAAAGAAGAAATAATTTTGTACTTATTGTCCAAAAAAATGGCGCTTTAGTAATGACAGGGATAAAATTTGGAAAGAATGCATCAATTAATCAATAATTGATGGATTCTATCCTAACAATATTGTTTTTCTTTGTTTTTTTAATGTTAACTTAGTTTTGTTTCGCCGACAAACGTGATATCTAAGTCGTTATTCTCTATGAATTTTTCAAGGAAATATCTTCTTTGTTGTTTAACAATGGAGTTCACGTTAATGGAAGCTATTTTTAGTTCTTGAAAAAGTAAACTAATTATTATCTCTATTATTGTCCATTTGGAAATTGTTTGTTAAAGAATTAGTCATCTTTAAGGTTTAGATAATCTAGTATTTTAGTAATATTTTTGGTATTAGTATTGACTTTCTCAGTAATCTTAGTTAACTTCACCATGATTGTCGATACTATTCCCTCTTTTATGGTTTCCGCCCATGGAGGGGGTATATCGAGGTGAACTGGATCAGCAATTGGTTGATTAATAGTGGGTCTTTGACTTTGGGTATGTGAATAACCTTGAGATTGATTCTGACAAGTAGATTTTAGATGAGAATCAGTTTGCGCATACAAGTGATTTTCATTTTTATTTTTAATAATATTGGCGTACGAAGTTCCATGAATTACTTTTTTTGAAAGTCTATTTATCTTGTCTTCTCTAATCTGATTATTTATTTGCAAGTCATTCTTGAGAATTTGGAGACAGCATTTGTAGAAAGGGCAACCTTTGTAATTAGCACGATCTCCTGTTGAATTACAGTTTGCACATTTCAGAATATTTCTATCTGAATTTTATCTATGTTGCAGTTTCCAGGCTCATGTCCTAGACTACATTTCACGCATCTGAATGCCATGAAGCAGTTACTGCTTGAGTGTCCAAATCTTTGGCATTTTTTACACTGAAACAAGGAGTTTTTGTGCAGTGGTTCCCAATGTATTTTTTGATATAGTATTATTTTTATCTTCGTTAGATCGACTAAGGAAGATTGACTTGAAATTTGTATTAGAAATACTGAATTATTGGTGTTTATGTTGAATTGAGTTTTGGAAACTTTTAATATTTCAACATTTTTTAAATTAAAACTCTTCAATTCAGACATAATATCATTTTCATCGAAGTCACCGTAGAGATCTTTGAGAACCACTGTTTTGGGCTTAGCAATTTTAGGAGTGCAAGCATAATATTCGGTGTTTTCGTCAGTTACTAATTTTTTAACAATATTGTACATTTCAAGATCTGACGTGTGTATTGTAACAAATTTTGAATCTTTAGGTTGTTTTAATCTAAATCTCGATTTATAATTATTGGAAATATTTAAAATCTTTTTCGCTAGTTCTTTTATGCTCTGCTTATAAGAGTGTATAGGTGGGGGTCTCTGATCTGTCGACTTTCGGGTATTCGACATTTGTTGATTGTTGGTGTTGTCGCTGGTGTGAACGCCTGTGTCATTGACCTGTGGGTGACTCTCGATCTCGTCTATCGGTAGTCTAGTGAACTTGTTCCGTATTGTCGTCTTCGTAGGTGTTTGCTTGCGTGAGTCTCGGAGTGGGGATGACAGTTTACCTCCCGTCACCTTCATCCAACCATCATCCTTCTCAGAATTCGAATTTTTATTTCCAGAAAGGTTTGCATTATTCTGGGAATTATCCTCGGTGATATCGATTTCAGATGGTTCTGTGTTAAATTGTGAATTGATTGAGAATCCGGCCTCACCTGATGTGTTTTGGGATGATGTTTTTTTCCCGTAAAAGGCTTTCATCTCTTTGATTTCTCTCTCCAGACGATCAGCAATTGTGTTTGGCGGATTCATCCTGGAGAATTTTTGTCCAGATCGATATGTTTCAATAGGCTCACTTCTTCTCTCTTGGGAAGATAGATTAGGTCTGATGACCCCTCTGCCTCTGCCACTCCTCAGATACTGGGAGTTACTTTTCTGATGTTTTTGGCTATCAGCCACATTTTATTGAAACTTCATAATTTCATAGATTTAAACTGTTATAAACAGTTTGAAACTTTCTTTTAATTACTTATCAAAATTAAAGAAAATTTTGTAACACAAAATTAAATGAATAAGGCTATTCAGCAATCAAATAATCAAACGGTGTGCGGGTTGTATTGCACACGTCCGAGCGATCTGACTGTTCGAAGCAGACTATGATATGACTGTTGGCTGAAAGTATGCAAATGAATATTGTGAACGCATCTTCAAAGTTGGGTGCCCGATTATTTCTACTTTTAAGAAGAGTGATCTGACCAATGATGGAAAATGAAAATTCTGGATAAAAAAAAACAAAAGAAAGAGGCCAACGGCACGTGGTGTTCCCAAGCGGTCACCCATCCAAGTACTAACCACGCTCAACGTTGCTTAGCTTAAGTGATCGGACGAGAACTTGCGTATTCAACGTGATATGACTGTTGGCTGA